GTCGCCTTTGTACACAAGTTTAGACGACAATTCCCCTCTAGGGTCTAGTCCTCAGTACCCTCACTTGTTTCTCCCTGGGAAAATCATCCACATCGTCGAAGAAAACAGCACGAAAGGGTAGGTGGATTATTTAATGGTTTCATAAGCCAGGATGTCCCTTTGTCGTCCAATCTTCTCTTGGATGCTGGGGAAATGCCCTCAAGTCCGGAGAAAAGAAGAAAGCTGGTTTGCTATAGTGGTTAAGGGGCTGGCTCTTAGAAACCAGGAGACGGTGAGTTCTAGTCCCGCCTTTGTCGCAAAGTCACCCAGGTGGCTTTCATCGCTAAGGCAGGACTAGAACTCACTGTCTCTTGGTGATTGTCCCAAAGTCGCCCAGCTGCCTTTCATAGCTATCACCAGGAGACTGTGAGTTGTAGTCCCATAAAATTTTGCCTTGAGGAATCCTTTCCATATGTTGTTCTGTGCTAGTTAGGAATGTGCAAAAACATCGCGTTGAAATGTTCCAGGCATAATATTTTGCAAAGCTTCGTTTGGTTTTAGCGCGAAGGGCCTTTTCTCAATGCTCTATTGAGCTCATCCACTTGGTTTCCAACTTGAAGCCCTTCTAAGATCTCAGTAGAAGAGAAAATTGAGAGCTCGGGGTTGAACTGTGGGGTCCTTGGTGCTCTCTGAACCAGGTGGTTTTCTTGTAAGATGTTTCACTACCCAGCTAGGTAACATCATCAGTGCTAGAAAAGATTTGCTGTTTGTATAAAAATGGCTTGTAAGTTTCCTTGATTAAGTTGGGTGATTGATAGTTCCTTGATTGGGGCATTGTTACTGGTTTACCTTCCAGATCTTGGGTGGCCTGTTTTATCCTTGAGTTTGCAAATGTTTGTATGAAAATTTTTTTGCAACCAAGTGTTAATAATATCCAGAACGTGATGACTTACCAAGTATTCATGTGAGAGAACAAAAAGTATTTAAAATAAGGCACAGAATCGTAACTTCAAATCCAGCATTGTCTTCTTTTGCAGTTGGTTTTCTTCTGAGGTCAAGTATTCAGCCAGCTGGTCGCGAGAAACTGCCTTTGGTAGTATTTTAATCAGCCCCAAGATGATCACCGATCATTGGCCAGATACAGTCCTCAGAGCTCTCCACAGCTTGGTCCAAACCGATGCGTCTTGCGTTTCGTGTCGGTCCCAAGGTGAAGCTTTCTGAATGTTGTATAACAGCAGAGATGGACAAGCACAACCTGACTGGGTCCCAAGTGTTTACAAGAACAGCCTTTAGCAGTTCAGCTGCGTGTGTCTAACGCAGAAACCAGACCAAGGTCTTCAGATGTTTCTGGATGACCACCTTAAGGTTGAAGTCAACGTCTTCTGGACTGCTTGTAACGGACTGAGATGTTTCGTGTCGAAAGATAGGATTTCATGGAAGTTTTACAAAGTCACATCCGCCCAGGGATTGTTGTGACGGAGAACCCAACTGATGGAAAGCGATGATTGACGTCCTCCTGAAGCCCCCCCGAGATCCTTCTGATCTGCTGACGTGTTTTTTAAAGCACATTATGTGTCGTCAAACCAAGTCCTTGTGGCATAGTGGAGACCTACCTGCAGGGTTTAACGAGGGACTTGTAAATGTGTAATAAGTCAGGAATGTTGGTGAAAATTCACTTCAAGACTTGGCCTATTTGGACACGCAGAGATGATGATTATGTCTTGGTTTTTTCTTTCTTTCTTGAAAGGAACGAGCATTTTAGATGCTTTTCACTGACTGAACTCTTAATTCTTGGGTATCTGTGCAATGCTGTCTGTTTTTGTTTACAATTCTTTTTAACACTGCTGAATGTGCAATTAATGATAGAAAATCTAAAAGCCACGGTCTTCGGTTCGTGATAGTACAAACCAGAAAGATCATTTTAGCTCTGTATCAAGATTTAGAATACAAATCTATAGAGCTGATAAAAGTTTGGTGTGATTGTCTCTAAGAAACAAATCCAGATCAAGTTGATTAGAGGATTCTTCAAAAGTAATTGCGGTCCTAATGATGATATCTTTTAGATGATGTTTTTGGAAAGATCTTCTAGCAGAAAGGAAATAGGCTGATTTTTAACGCATTCACTTCCTGGAAAAATTACGGAAATCCAGGAATGTACGTGCTTTTAAAAACAAATGTATTTCAGATGTGGAAGCAAGCTAAATTTGAATTTGGCATTCTTAATTTAATCTTATTCTGGTTTCAGTGGCAAGGAAGAAGCAGGTCAGTAATGGGCTTTTTAAAAAAAAATTACAGGTGGTCCTTGACTTACGACAATTGGAATCGGCATCTCTTGTTGCTAAGGCAATCGAGTTGCACCCAATTTCACAATCTTTTTTTTTTTTTTTTGCCAAGGTCGTTAAGTGAATCTGGCTTCCTCTGATTTGGCTTTTGCTGATTGGGAAAGTCACAAATGATGACCAAATGATCCAGGGATGATGCTGCAGTTGTCCTAAATAACATGACAATTGCCAAGCACCCAAATTTTGATTACTTGATTGTGGGGATGCTGCGATGGTTAAATGCAGGGACCGCTTTTAATTGTTTTTCAGGGCAACTTTGGTTGCTAAGCAAACGGTTGTTAAGTTGAGGACCGCCTTTAAGGCCAGGACAGAGTTCCAGAGTCAGGATTTGAAAAACTAGGCATTTTATACTTTCTCTCGCACAGATTAATATTTGGTGCCTACTTAGCATGCTTCCCTTTGAGCTGCCGTAACGTGGATTAGTTTTAAACTAATGTGAAACTGGTTTTCTATCAGTTTTATCTTCCAGGCTATACAAGAGTGTTATGGGCTCAGTTTGCATTGGGCAATTTTAAAGAGCCTCACAAAAGAGGCCTCTCTCCTTCTTCCAAAATGTGTCAAATATCTACACAGTTGGCTCCTGAAAGCTCCCTGTTGGGGACGTTTTCGGCTCCATATACAGTATTTCTGCATAAAAACGACCTTGTTGGAATAGATTAAAAAGTGGCCTTCTGGAATTTCTCCCGTTGGGTGCAGCAAATGGGACAAAATGATGGAAGGGCTCTAGCAATGAGGACCGTTGGCCTAAGCATCATCTATAGATAACATCCCAATATTTTCCCCCCATTAAAAATAAGTTTCCACCCAATCAGCTTGGTGTTTTCTCTCTTTCAGGGTCATAAACGAAAGGTTTCATGGCAGAGTGTCATAGGCGGACACTGCTGACATGGGCAGCTGTACAGGAAGAGTCACAAGAGTTGCCTTCCATAGTGGTTAAGAGTCCGGGGTCTCCAACCTTGGCAACTTTAAGACTTGTGGACTTGAAGTCCACAAGTCTTAAAAGTTGCCAAGGTTGGAGACCCCTGGGTTAGACCACGGCTTCTCGACTCTAGCAATTCTAAGATGCGTGGACTTCAACTTCCAGAATTCCCTAGCCAGCCCTGAGGAATCCTGGGAGTTGAAGTCCAAATATCTTAAAGTGTTGTCAAGAGTCGAAAAACAGTGAATTGACGGAAACGATTTTCTGGTGCAATCTTATCAAGAAAACACAGGTAATCCTTAACTTACGACAATTGAGCCCAAACATTGTGTTGCCAAGACTGTTGTTTCCCCCCCCCCCATCTTATGACCTTTCTTGTCACAGTTGTGAATCACTGCGGATGTTAAGTTAGTAACACAATCGTTAAGTGAAGGTAGCTTTCCCGTTGACTTGGCTGATCAGAAGGTCTCAAAAAGGGACCATGTGAACCTGGGACGTTGCAACCATCAAACAGGAGTCGGTTGCCAAGCGTCCAAATTTTGATCACGTGACTGGAGGAATTTGCAATGGTCGCATGAAAAATGGTCATAGGTCACTTTTTCCATGACAGTGTAACTTTGAATGGTCCCTAAATGAACTTTCATAAGTGGAGGATTACTTGTAAGGATTCTTTCAAATTAGGAAGCGAGAAAAACGAAAGCAGAACGGGTGAAGAGACAGAGAAATAAACCACAATACAAAGCTCCGTTGTGTGTGGCACAAAGAATTTAACCCACGAGGTGCTCAAATTCCCATCCCTGGGGATAGGAATCCTGCAACAAGATGGCACGCTTGACATACCTCAATGCAACTCACGGAGTCCAAACTCTAAACCCAGGTGTGATTTAAGAATTTATTAAGTCATACATGCAAAACAGACTGCTAACTTGCATTTACCAAAAAAGATCCAATGTAAAAACTTCACAATCTTGCAAACTCCATTTATATATATTTATATTTTTATATATATATATATATTTGTTCTAGTAATTGAAAGGAGGTTGGGGGAAGAAATCAACGTGTTCTTGCCAGCATCTGACGTACAGAACCTCACAAGCCTGATTATCTTTATTAGACCAGGATCCTGAAAACGTTACAAATGAGCCACGTCAGTGTTGGTAAAATTTAATACAGCTTCAGGATACCTGGCAGATAAAAGAGACATTAGCCAGAGGGAAAAAGTGGGGTGAAATTATTAAAAAAAAAGGGATTGATCAGCTGCCCTTGGTTTTTACACCAAGTTATCTTCAAGACTGAAGAAAGCTTTTTAAACCAGGGCTCTCTAACCTTGGCAACTTTTAAGACTTGTGGACTTCAATTTCAGCAAGCTGGCTGAGGAACTCGGGGAGTTGAAGTCCACAAGTCTTAAAGTTGCTAAGGTTGGAGACGCCTGGTTTAAGCCATGTACATAATTAGGACGGGGGGGGGGAGATAGAAGGCTACGTTTGACTACTCTTATCATCCAAAAATAAGTGGCTAATACAAATTTTTAAAAAATGATTTAAAATACAAATTAATATTGTTCAGGAGGAGGATTCTATCAGAAAAACATCCAGCAAGAACAGGTGGGAGAGAGGACCAGCTCAAAATTGTAATAAGCTTAAAGTCCTACCAAAATAATACGAACAAATATTCTAGAAAAAAACACTCCAACCTGCTGCTCAGCTGCTCATTGGCTGCTGGAAGGAGGAGTCCTTTTGTGGGTTTGTGTTTTTTTTTTAAATCGTACAAGAGAGAAAATAATACCCCCTTGGTTTTAAACTAGTGTGTTGAAAATGTAGTGTAAATTGATCTTTACAGTGTCAAAATACTGTCTGGTCAATTCTGTTCCACCGAGTCAGTTGTCTTTCCTCCGAGAAAATAGTATTCTGCCGTGAAGGAAGACAAATACATTTCTAGGAAAAAAAAAATTGCTTTAATCACAGACCTTAGTTGATTCGACATATTATATGTATATATATATATATATATTTCAAAAAGGGAAGGGTTAATCTGGAGTTGTCAATTATTGCATTTGTTCAAGCATGAAAGATGGGTGTGAAGCTGCTGTCGGATGAACGAGGGCATTTTTAGACAGCAACTGTTTTTTTTTTCTTTCTTTCTGGGAAAACCCGATTAAAGTGTTGCAGCTGGTAATAAAACATTAGTATTTTTAAAGACACCTGCCTGACTCTGTAAGGGAAAAAAACAAAAACAAAACAGGTCTGGTGGCTTCACATAACAAAGCACAGCAATCCAAGAAGAGAGTAAGTAGCAGAAAGTTTGGCAACGGTTGATCGATTAAGCGGAGCTGGAAAAAAAGGGGTGGGGGAGAAGTAAGGCCTTTATATGTCTTTTTTAAAAAAAGGAAGGAAGGAAGGAAGAAGCTAACTTTTTTAAACAAAGGGAAATATGTAAGGTGGCTGTTTTGGGATAACCTGAAGGGGAAAGATAACCAATTTAAAAAAACAAAAACAAAAGAACAGAAACGCAGGAATGCTCCGTTATTCCAAGCAAAGCACAAAAGGTTTTTTTTTTGGGGTGGGGGGTGGGGGGGTGGGGAGTGGGGGGGGATGAAAGCAGCAGCAGCAGCAGCAGCATTAGAGCAGCAGGCATTTTCTCTTCCTCTTCTTGACTGGAGGGGGGCACAGGACGGCTCGGATGGCTTCGTCGAAGACTGTCTTGAGGCCCCGCTGCGTAAGTGCTGAGCATTCTAGGTATTTGACTGCGCCTACAAAAAAGGGAAAGGCCAGCTGGCTGAGGAACACACCAATCCCCCAAATCCTAAAATTAAAAAGCAGCAGCAGGAGAGCAGGGAGACTGCAATGTGCGGCCTTCACGAAAGGATTTCAGTATCACATTTTGTCTGTCTGTCTACCAACCTTCTCTCGTCTGTCATCTATCATCTCGTCTATCGTTTATCTAATCTATCAAGCAAATTTATCACACGTTTTTCTTTTATCTATCGTCATCAGCTGGATTGAGGGCAGACTCCAACTCCTCTCCTTGTTCTCTGCTTTCTACCTATTTCTTTTTTTTTGCTAATCATATAACTGTTCTCGCTGTGCCCTCTTTTATTGTTTATTTTATGGTTCTATTATCTTACTTCTGGTTCATGCTCTTCATTTTAACTGTTTGTAAGCTGCCTAGAGTAGCCTTGTGGTGAGATAGGTGACAAATAAATTTAACAAATCCATCATCCATTTATCGCTATATCCCATCTATCAATCCAACCCAAGGATCTTCAAACTTGGCAAGTCTAAGACTTGTGAACTTCAACTCCCAGAATTCCTGAGCTAACAGGGCTGGAGGAAAAGAAACTCTGGGAGTTGAAGTCCACAAGTCTTAAAGCTGACAAGTTTGAAGACCCCGGATCTAATCTATCATCTTTTTCTCATCTATCTATCCATCTCGTTTAACACGTATCGATTTATCTAACTCTGTATCTCCTCTATCTATCTCTCAATCAATTTATTTTATAAACGTATGGACTCCCCGATCCCAGATTTCCTGGCTGGGGAATTGGAATTCTGGGAGTTGAAGTCTACACCTCTTAAAAAGTTGCCAACCTTGGAAAACGCTGCTCTACAGTCCCTCAATCCAAAGGGACTCTAACAACAGCCCTCCAAATGGGCCGAAGGCTTACCGATCTCCTTCGCCATGGCAAGGCCTTGTGGGTAGGTGATTGGCGTCAGCTTCTTCTCCTTGAGTTTTTCGATAGTGTCTTTGTCATCTCGGAGATCAAGTTTGGTTCCCACTAGGATGATGGGGGTATTGGGGCAGTGGTGTCGCACCTCTGGATACCACTGCAGAAGAAGGGGAACCAAAAATTGTCAAATTGTTCTGCCTGGAAAATCAATCCTGTCGAAAGAGATTTCCCACCAATGAGCTCTGGCTCATTAAGGCATGCCTATTAACGGGGCACACTATTGCTACACAACAAAAGAAACCCACACATACACAAAAGGAAGAACAACAACAAAGCAGAGCTCAGAACTGTATTTCACTATGAGCTTGATTGACAGCCCAGGGCAAGAAAAATAACTTTTGCCACTGGCTTTTACCTTTAAGGTGAAACACAGTGTGGCAAGTAGGATACCGGTTCCATTTCCAAAACGATTTCCGACATTTATAAAGCCACATTTTGCTATTCACTGAGCTATTCTTGATTGATTCGTTTTTCTGCTATAGTTCTCTCTCTTAGAGGAGAAACAATAAATATGTTTTTACTCACCTTTGCACGGACATTTTCGAAGGATGCTGGGCTCACAAGGGAAAAGCAAATTAAGAACACATCCTGTAAAACAAGATCAACAGAATCTCAGCCTCCAGGGGGGTTGACAAGGTTTTCACACAACCTAGCTCCACTGATGAGTTCTAACTACCAAGAAAGAGCATCTTTGGGCTGGCAGGATAGAATATGTCAAAATTATGCTTCTTCGGCATTCAAAATGGCATTAAATACCAGCAGACAAGAAATGCTACAAGAACGAAAGACCCCATCAAATGGGTGACTTAGTCCTTTACCCTGTTCCATAGGAGTTTCTGTCTTAAAAAGTTACTGATTTCTTCTTTACTGCATAGGTTTTTATTTATTTATAGCCCACCTTTATTATTTAATAACTCAAGACAGCTAACACAGGTAATACTCCTCCTTCCTCCTCCTATTTTCCCCACAACGACATCTCTGTAAAGTGGACCGGGCTGAGAGAGAGGCCCAAAGTCACCCACCGGTTTCACGCCTAAGGTGGGACTAGAATTCACAATCTCCTAGTGATTGGCCCAAGGTTACCCAGCTGGTTTTCATGCCTAAAGCAGGACTAGAACTCAGTCACCTGGTGACTGGCCTAAGGTTACCCACCTGGCTTTCATGCCTAAGGCAAAACTAGAACTCCCTGTCTCCTGGTTTCCAGCCTGCTGCCTTTACCACTAAACCAAACTGCCTTTGGGTTGCACACGATTAAATCACGGTTCAGTTAGCTGCCCTCACTTCGACGTTCTGTAAAGTGTCGGCCATTCAGCCAATACTTCCAAGTTTTCTTTAACACCACCTGCAACTTTAAAGGCTGGAAAATAATCTCCCAACGTTTGCTTCAGACCGAATCCTTGATTAGCCCACCATTCACAAATGCCGTTTCTCAAACATCAAAAACCTCTCTAGGCCTAGACCACATCTTCCCCTCTGCACATTGACAGCTGGGCTGCTGCAAATCAGAGAAACCACTTAGCATGTTAGTTGATTGAGGTGCAGCTCTAGGCTGCCAGAGAGGTCAGCTCCAGAGGCCCTGAGTTAAGCGTTTGCAATCATAATTAACCATGCATCCACGTAATGGGTGGAAAATTGGTGCAAAGGATACATGCTCCCATAGCTCCTCAGAGCACCTCTCGCTGGCTGGCTAGGTGGCTCCTGCCCAGACCATCTCCTTCATATCATTCCCAGCCCCTTTGAAGGGAGCGGCTTTCGTAAATGCTTGGATGTTAACTGTTTTTTTTTTTTCCAGAAACAGTTACCTTAGAGCAGGGTGGCAATTTTAAGACCTACGGATTTCAACTCCCAGAATTCCCCAGCCAGCATAGCTGAAGTCCACGGGTCTTAAAAGTGGCCCAAGTTGGAGGCCCCTGACCTAAGAGTGGCAGGAAGGTGCCGCAGGAGAGGAAGCCAAGTTTCAGGGCTGCAGAAGCGGCAAAGAGGAAAATGCAGGGCACCGAAAAAGCGCTTGGAAACGTAATGGACGAAAGCGTTACATACGGAGAGTGGCTGCCGCTTCCCACGGGGACTTAAATCCTTACCACTCGTTCCTTCAACCTAGTAATAGCACGAGACAATTGGGGTTAATGTTTGGAGACGCCGGAAAAAGACGCTCTTTGCGCATTGGCGGAAAGCGGCTGCAACGCTCCCAGGATTTTGGAACTGCAAGGGATTGGAATTGGGGATTGAAGCGGGCCACGGTTTTCGTTTCGAATTCCTCTGCTTGTAGAAAACTAGCCCAGAGAGGAACTGATGCGAGCCTCAATTTTTCGGCAGGGAAGATTTCCTACAAGAACGTAGTAGTTCTGTGTGTGTGTGTTACTGTTTCCCCCTCTTCCCCCCACCCCCAGGTAAATGTTTCTGTGCTTAGCAATGTTCAAAGGTTCATGTATCTGAAGGATTTAGAAGAAAACCACAAAAAAATTGAACATTTAAATATGACGTATATATCGTCCAGTGGGCTTCCTTCTGGTAAACCCTGTGTGTGTGTGTGTGTGTGTGTGTATACACATATGTGCAAATGTATGACTGTTTGGGGGGGGGGTTCTTTCCCCCCAGTACCTACTTCTGAAATTTAATACAACTTTTAGCAAACCTCTTTACAAAGAGATTGCAAAACTTTCAAACAGCTAGAGATAACTAGGATCCTTCTCCAATAACATCTGGCTCAAGATATCACCTTATCCTGAGGTTACGTGTTTCTGTGGGGAGAAGTTTGAGATAAAACTCCTTACGCAATGTGGAGAGAGGTATCTTCCAGTATTAAAAATGTGGTGGTGAATGCAGCCTGGATCCCCAGGAAGGAGGGGCTGCCTTCCAGAGAAGCAAGAGAGAACGCAGTTCACGCAGTTTGTGTGTGAGGAGGAGGAGGGTGAAGACAGCTCCTCCCTAACTTCCTTCTCAGGCTATAGGCTTGGTGTAACCTCGGCAACTTTAAGCCCTGTGGACTTCAATTCCCAGAATTCCCCAGCCAGCTAAATCCCATCTAAGATCTATGGCAGTATATAGGTGTAGGGTTGCTGCTTTTGGTAAGAGTTGCTTGTTTTGGGGAATTCTGGGAGTTGGAAGTCCACGGGGTCTTATAAGTTGCCGAGGTTAGCCCCTCCTGCTTTATGGAGATGGTAGCAGGTTTTAGTCTGGCAAGACTGCTTTTCTTGGTTTTTGGAGCCTTAGAAAAGCACCGTGGCTGGCCAGTTATTCAACTCTCATTTGTTTTTGAGACTACTAACAAAGGAGAATGGGAGAGGCACCACGATGGCTCCTGCATTGTTTCCTCAGTCCGGTACACTTCGGAGGTGAGCTTTGCCCTTGTCATTTGACTGCTGTCCCAGATAAATGCCGCTTCTCCGGAACAAAGAAGTCTTTTTCCCACCCACCCCTTTCTGGCAGTTTTCGTTGGAAGCAGCGAAGCCATCAACAAAGGGCTCTCGCCGAACTTGCAAAGCCAAAGCAGGTCACAACAGACTGACTTCCTGGAGTTGTACGTGTAAAACCGTTAGTGAGCAAGCGAAGGAGGAGGAAAGAAATGTTCGGAGAACTGAAGGTTTTCACTGGAGGGGGTGGCAAGGGGAGGGGAAAAAAAACCCTCCCGAATCGATTGAAGAGCCAGGAAAGGATTTCCATTCTCTTTGTGGGAAGTGTGTGTTCATTATTTTGGATAGCTTTGAGAAGAGCAGCCATAAGGAGAAGCAGGAAGAAATACCTGGATCACAGGTGCGCCCATTTTAGAATCGAATAGCAGAGTTGGAAGGGACCTTGGAGGTCTTCTAGTCCAACCCCCTGCCAAGGCAGGAAACCCTACACCACTTCAGACAAATGGTTGTCCCACATCTCTTTAAAACTTCCAGTGTTGGAGCACTCACGACTTCTGGTGGCAAGTTGTTCCACTGATTAATTTTTCTCACTGGCCAGGGAATTTCTCCTTAGTTCTACTGAGTTTTGACAGAGAAACAAAATATTGTGGCTCATGCAAGCCACATTAAAGCAGGTCTAGAACGGCTTCACTGAATACTGGAGAACCTTGATGGCCAGAAAGGTGTTCAAATATTTGTGTGTGTGTGTTAGAACACGCTTGGAGAGGCACAAGGTTAGCTTACAAATTGTTCGGGTGCGCTTTTGCTTTGGATGAGATTTTACAGGTGGGCAGTTCCTAAAGTTGATGGATAAAATGAACAGAGTTCTTGAATTTATCTAATTGCAACCAACTCTTGGAAAAATACACTTTTTGATCCACAAGGGCTCCCGAAACTTGCCCTGGTGAAGTGGGGAAACCCAAAGCAATCCTAGCGAGTTTCTCACATTGAAAGACCCCCCCCTGCCAAAAAAATGGAAAGAACTATGCTTGTAAAGAGACTTTTATGCTGTAAAGCCTGCTAGTTTGAAAGCAAACAGAACAGGGGCCTCCAAAACCTGGAAGGCAAACGCTCCCCGTGCTAAACCTCGATTGGCATTCAAGCCGTCATCGCCGGATGGGATGTGCGTTACTCGTACAAATAAACATCAATGCTGGTTGGTTTGTATCTTGGGAATTACAAACATCTTGAAGACCGACTGACAAAGCCTTAAACAGCTCAGCCGTGGGGCCGATGGGACGGTTTTGTCAGAGGGAGCAAGGGAGGAGTCCAGGAGAGGCTGACCAAGCGACAGATCCAGAACATCTCTGCACATTCCAAAGGTGAGCAAGAAGCCATTCGTGAGAGCAAAGAGAAGGGAAGCAATCGCGTTCGAGGGAAGCCGCTCATTCCAAGCCCTCGGATATTATAAGGCTGATTCTCTGACAGTTTCCTGGAAATGCCACAAATCCCAGAATGGCACTAGGCTGCTGGAGAAGGACTGTCCTGCCCCCGGTGGAGACTGACTCCGAGGAAGAGGAGGAACAGCCAACAGGGAGTGGGAGTGTGGCCCCAGAGGTGGTGGAGGAGGAGGCTGGGGAAGGACAGAGGCCGGCTGGGCAGTCAGGGGAAGACCCAGGCCCATCCCCTCTCCATCCTAGGGCACGCAGGGAGGAGAGGATCAGGGAAAAGCGAGGTCTACTCAGGAGGAGATTACCATGATCCTCCTCGTGGCTTGCAGCTGGGAGCTACGTATATAAAGTATATAAGTTTGTAACTGTGCAGTCAGAACTGCTGGAGTCAAAGTTTAATGTTTTCTTTGAAAGTGGTTTATCTTTGCTGGCGTTCTTCCCATGGACTCTCCTCAGTTATCTTCCTGGAATATTATAATTAGTTATCTTGGCTTGCTTTGGATCTCTCGTCAATGCGGTTTGTTTTGGGGTTGTTGTTTTTTTGCCTCATCGTTTACTTTTGTGACTTTAAACTGTGCCTAATAAAACAGTGAAGTTAAGTTGAAGGCATTACTGGACTTTAATGTATGTTTTGGGTTTGGGGTTATTTTGAGAGACTACGGGTCATCACAAGGACAGAGAATGGTTTGAGTGTTAAGACTTACAGCTCGCAGGGCAGGGGGAAGGATTACTAGAGGAGTCGTGGGAACTAGGACGCTCGTTTGCAAGGGACTGTGACAAGTGAGTTAAGTTCAGGGACAGGTTTCCAGGCTGTGGCCTGTGGAGAACCGGGCCGCACAAGCAGTGGGTGAGTTAGCAGAGCTTTATCTGGCATGTAGGGGATCTAGGCTGCGTATGAAAATGTTCCCCTTCCCCCAGGTCCATGGAAAAATTGCCTTCCACAAAACCCGTCCCTGGTGCCAGAAAGGTTGGGGACCGCCGGGGTTAGTTCATTTTACATTAGAGCTAGAAGCTTCTCTGACTGTCGGCAAGCCTGTAAGACATTGACGACTCTGCCGGCGTGGGGCGCTTACTGTTTGTGGGTAAGACAACGGGCGTAGTCTGTCGTAGTCTTCTTGTCCAGCGGTATCCCACAAGCCCAGGTTGACTGGCTTCCCATCTACCATCACATTGGCGGAGTAGTTGTCAAATCTGCCAGGGAACACGAAACAATTAGCACCTTCTTGCCTTCTGCTTGAAACGGAAAGAAATGAAATGACAACCTAAGCACTGATGATGTGACTTGGCTGGGTTAATGAAACGCCTGCAAGAAAACAAAGCAAGCTCAGAGAGCACCAAGGAGCCCCCAATGTCAACTGTGGGTTGCCATAAGGCTCATTTAAGATGATAGAAGATACTGTTTGTTACGGTTTAGTCTACTTCAAAGGGGCAATTGTGTTTTAGGTTTTTAATCCGTGGTGAAGAAAGTTGGAAGTGATTTGTTTTTTATTCTATAGCTTTTTCCTCTCCTCAGTTGGCAGGAATTTTTCCCTACCCTTCCTTTTTTCCTTTTCAATTCTTTTTAAAAAAAAACTTTTGTAAACCTTAAACAAAAAAAACAACACATTATCTTCAAACCCAGCTCAGGTCAGAGTACATGCAGCTTAAAACAACCCCTCTGTTAAGCAATTTAAGCCCAAGTAAGGAGTGCTGCTTTCTCCTTTAAATGATAAAATGAAGAGACACCATGCCATCTTAAAATATTAGTAATTTTATATTTTGAAAGTTGACTCTGGTCCGTGAAATGTTGTGTCTTTCAGATATTGGAGTCTTGTTCTCCCACCAACACAGTTTTTTTTAATCTCTCCCAAAACTGGCAATGTGCTTCTGCAATTCAACATTGTAATATTTCTGCATTTTTAAAAAGTGCTTTATTAAGAGTAACCTGTAATGTTAATTTAAAAGAATGCAGAATTATTTCAATGTCTTAAAATAGCACACATATTTCAGCACGTGGGGCCCATGGCACAGGAAACCTCTCCCAAATGAGTTATGTTTAAACAAATGATAACAATGTTGGATTTCAGTCAACAGATGCTGCTCAAGAATCTCAGACATTGCAAACTTCTGACATGCTATTTTTATTTCATTTTACTTTTACAGTTTATTTATTTTTTGTCAACCACTCAGTCATTAGGAGTTAGTCAGGGAGCAAACTGAATAAATAAAATAAATGCTAATTTTCCAGAAATGTAAAGCAATTGCAAAGACACTTATAACTAGAAAAAATATCTCTGTCAAAAAGACTACTTAAAGCACAGCTCCTCTATTATAAAGCAACCTAATCAAGTCTCTTTATGATCTTTTGAACACTTAAAAATGATCAAAAGAAAAATAAAATACTCACACAGTTGGTATATATTCTCCAGGAAATGCATTGGTTGTGTAACTGATGAGTAGGCATGTTTTACCTACAGCACTGTGAAAGACAGGGAAAAAAATCACCATAAGAAATTATTCATGTGATGGAAATAACAAGGAAGCCATTCAGCAGAGAAAATTAGCTGTTCATTAGTACTTGAATTTAAACGCGATAAATCTCATCCTTAAACTGCTATATATTTATGATTTATTTCTGCCGAGTTAGATAAAGGATTCAAAGTCTTTAAAATGCATACTTGGCTGAACTCATACTTCAAACACACCTTTCTTACAAACTGCTAATTTGCAGACCAGACATGCTAGAAACATAGTACACTGGCAGTTGATTTTGTGAATTTTCTGGAAACACACAGATGGCTGGATACTGGGTGGGGTTCTCAAATCTTTCTGCAATGTTCATTCAAGTTCTGAAGTCAGAATTTGTCATCCCAGCTCTGGGTTATTAGACCATTTTAATTTTCTTAACCTACTGGTGGACTTTCTGGGGTTTGCAAAAAGGCCCCTGCGTCAATTTTCGAAGCAGAATGTCTGTTCCGAAAGAATAGTTACTTCCTGTGGAGGCACGTGTGGGCTTGAGTGACTTAGCGTGCATTGCTGTGCATTTAAAGCTGTGAAGCCTAAATTAATGGAACAATTAATGGATGAATGGAATTTCGTGTGGCAGGTAGAAAAGAGCCTCACCGCAGGGAGAAAGATATCGAGCACAGAGTTAAGAAAAACACCCACAAGCGCACGACGTTTGAGGAGAACGGAGGTTTCTGGAGCCTTTTCCCTTTTCAAGTCAGAGAGGATGGAATTCAAGCAGGGTCTCGTGAATTGGTTCACTTCTCCGGGGTAGTGAAAGGAGAGAGGAAACAATGGAAAGAGAAAAACACTTGTGCTATTTTCATCAACCAATCCCACAGAGCCCAGGCCAAAGTCCTGCTGAATGCACTGTGAATGCACCAGAGCCCTAATTGTACCACTCAGCGTGGACTTTTGAATTACATCATTATTTTAAAGTAAGGGATTGACAGATGGTGTTTTTTTTTAAAAAAAAATATTTTAAAATGAGAGAAAAGCACGCCTACGAATCCAAACACGAGTTCTCTGATATAAGAACGAACGGCATTAAAATGAGTTGTTTTCTGTAATACATCCATTGCTTTCCTGTCCTAATAAAATTTGGATTTTTCAGCTGCCTTTAAAAAAAAAAAATCTATTTCCACCTCTAGATAATGTCACTTTTTTCATTTGAGTTTTTTATTTTTATTTATTTTTTGCTGTGGGGGGG